ATGCACTTTCTGGCTTATGGAAATTTTATAATGTCATGGGCATGTTTAACCTACGTGGTAAAGCTATGTTATCTTTAGTAGGAATTGCTGGTAGGTATAATATTTTTGTTTAATGATTTATAATTATTTAAATATAAAATATATTTAATGATTTGTAATCATTTAAATATTCATTAATCTTTTAATGTGTTTAATGATTTGCAATCATTTGAATATTCATTCTATATAATGTGTTTGTTTAATGATTTGTAATCATTTAAATATTCCTGCTAACTAAATTTATTCATTCATGCAGGAATTGGAGTTTGTACTTACCTTTTGTATGACATGGGAAGAGTTGTACCCCGAAAGGTTGCCAAAAAGATCCAACATCATCTAGTTCAAACGCAATATGTCGATCGCGAAGCAAACCGTATCACTAGACAAAGTCGTAAAAAGGTCCGGTTGGCAACCGAAGATTTACGATCACGATTCAGAATTGCTGTTGAAAAACAAAAACAAAACCGAATTACTATGGAACATGCATTTAAAAAATCGGAAGATGCTGTCAAGTTCTTTGAAGATATTTTCTGTAAAGCTGAAAAAATGTCTGATGTTTTAAATTCTCTTGGAAACAACTGGGAAGACAGCGATGATGAATTGTACTAATTTCACATGTCATATTTAACCTAAATCATTCAAAATATATCAAAAATAATGTGATAAAATATTTGTATTTATGATATAGTACTTTTATATAATTGATAAATATGTTAAGACAAAAGTAAATCATATTTTTGTTGTTCATCTTGTATCTATTAAATCAGCATAGCAGTCTTTCGAATAAACCGTTTACTTTTAAAAATAATTTTAATGTAGTTTTTTTTTTTATATTACAAATGGAATTTTTAGCACAATATGTAGTTTAAGATTGTAAAAAAGTTTTTTATAAAATCAAATTTATATTTAATTAAACGTATATGTTTTTTTTATTAACTTTAAGAGAAGATAACAATTCTTATTAAAGTAAATGAAAATTTTGCGTTTGTCGCGAATTTCCTAATAATTTGCTAGCAGATAATATTACAAATTGATATTTTTTTTTTATAATTTTTAATTGAATTTTTTAACAAAAAAAAAAAAT